TAAAATACAAGTTCTTTTTTTTCCTTATTTCAAATGAAGTTTTCTTAGGTCTAGTTTGAATAATAGGCTCTAATGCAACAAGATTCATTCTTATCACATTATACAACTATTGATGGGTTAGATTGGGTCAAATTCGATTAACCTTATAAAATCTTTGATCAAGGCTTGTCTTTTTGATTTCTTTAAATTTAAAAGGTTTAAAAATTAAAAAATTTTAAAATTGAATTTAAATAACAAATATTTTTATTAATTAAATAATATCTTGAATCGGATCCCTACTTGAGATTAAAAACCTTGTTAAAGCCCTTAATTTACTAAAAATATCTATGAAATTTACTTCTAGCTATATACTAATTCCTTTCTTTCATAGTTGATTTGATGAACTAGATGAAAGTAAACCGATTCATTTTTCATATTCAATCCACATAAATATCTCTAAAAAAGAAATGATTTCGAAGATGAAATCATTAAAACCAAACTTGCTATCGTCAATCTCATACTTAATCACACTTTGGGCTGTTGAGCACTACCGACTAAATCCAAAGAATGTTCCCTTTCCATTAGACAAATTATGTCATCAAAAAAGCTATTATTAAAAAGCCTAAAACTCCTAGAGATAAACTAATTAAATGTTATTTTTTTTTCATCTTAATCTTTCATTAATCAACATTGAAATATTAATGTAAGTGCCCTATTCAAAGCATGCACTTTTTCTTCAACTTTGACCTCCAAAATATTGGTATTGCTTTCCCAGGCAAAAACTTTATTTTTGCCCACGAGTGAACAAAGATTGTGCCCTTTGGCCTTTGCTGCTTTGGGTCAATCAGTCAACCTTTGGCCTTTACACGCCTCCCACACGATTTGGGTAGGCAAAAATTGCCATCATAATTTATAATAATCGAATGCTGTTTTATTTTTTTAATATGATTTTGTTGTTGTGATGCCAAGCAAGAATTGGCTGTTTCTTTCCTCTTTTTGCCATTTTTGTTCAAAGGGTGGAATCAAGTCTTCCATTAATATGTTATATGTTACAAATATCTCTTGCTCTCTATTTGTTTATTCTTTTCAATTTGGCTTGGATTGGGATCAAGCATCAACACAAAAGCCAAACTATGTTATTTTATAATTCAATTTTTAAATTCATTCAAGCACAACACTTTTTCCTTTATCTTCATTAATAATCAGTCCAAACTTTCGGCTGATTATTCCTTTTAATTTTTTTTAGGTTATTGTTATAGCCGACTAATATGCACAAGCATAAATACGTATCAATTATAGATGTAACAAAAAAATTTTAGATTCGATTCTTAACTCAATTGATTCATATAATTACTTTTGAAAATAATATCTAATAGATCTGAGATTTAAATTATAATACCTGCAATTCTTTTTTTATTACCAAATTACGATTTCTTTAAATATATATATATATATATATTTTCCATGGACGCAAACTACTCAACATATATCATATGCATTTATATATACATCCTCGTTCAAAATAAGGAATACAAAAAGAAAGAGATGATTTGAAGATTAAAGAAAATTAGCTTAATAAGTTTACCCACTTTGCCACACACACATTGGAGTGCAAATATTGTTTAATCAAGACCTACCTCTTAAAGAATAGTCTTTGGCAGAAAAACTCATTTCATTTTCATCACTTTTTAGTTTTCATCAGCTTCCGGTAAACTACTACTTTGATAAAATTTTGAACTGTAGAAAAGCCAACTTCTAGTGGTAATTGATGGCATTTAGGAGGAACTGCCTCAACTTAATTAGAAGTCTCAGTCAACCTATTCTGATCCATTAGTTCTCATTGTTGTAACTGATGATTACGATCTAATTTAGTGACAAAGTGGAAACACTTTTAATCTGAAAAGAACATTTGCACTAGACAAAAAGCAACCAAATTTGGCAAAAGGATTTGAGTAGTAAAAGTAAATGAGTATATATCGGTTTCTTTCTACATAGTTGTATCGATCTATTTTAAATGTAAATGAGTTCGAGATTTAATTCAATTAATTTATGTAATTATTTTTAAGAGATGACATTTAATAAATTTTAGATTCAAATCCTATCACTTATAATTTCTTCCACTATCCCTATCCTATGACTTCTTTTGTATAAAAAAACAAGTGATTTGAAAACCAACATATATTTTATTCAAAATTTCTCGTCAATATTGTATGTGAAATTTTGAACTTTGAAGTGATTCTAAAACAAAATGCAAGATTTTGCTAATTGAATAGGGAACTACATCTTTCTTATTACTATAATCTTCTTCGGTCCTTCATTATTTTTTGTATAGGAAAGAAGTTTTAGGACCACAACAGTTGTAATACCAGTTGTTAAGATTACGGTAACTCTAATATTATTTGTTAGACAAAAAAATCTTAATTCAATTAAATAATCAAACTAGTGGAGGCGAAATCAAACGATCAATTAATCACACAAGAGATAACAATTTAACGTGATTTAGTCCAACCGACCTATATTCAAAGATAGGAAAAAAGATTCATTAACTATAAAGAATTACAAATATACAATCTCAATCAATCACTTAACATTAATAATCATAAACCTTCTCAATCTCTTTTAGTTTTACGAAGTATTCTCAACCCAAAAATACATACCTATGTACACCCATGCATCATACCTATATCGATCATTTTATTCTTCTTTAATCTACTCAAACATACACACCTATAAAGATGTTAATCTCTTGTAATCTTATGGGTATCTATCCCATAAAACCTTACAACTTTTTAATATCTTTTTCTGATGTCTAATTTTATATAAACTCCACCTATTTATAAGCATATAAACTTGCATATTAAGAATCTTTTTCTTATTAAAATTCTTCTTCTGCAAGTCGTCTTGTTTATCAAGTAATATCTAACTAATTTCAAACAAATCTCTTATAGGATTTTAGTCACTATTCCTAACAGTCTCTACCTTAACTCAAATTTCATCAAATCATTTTCATGTTAGACATGTTTGGCTCCACTTATAATAGAAGTCTCGTAATAATATTTTATGTGTGTCTTAAAGCTTTATGCAAAACGATTCTTAAAATACGAATTCGAACTCTTGCATTCAATCAAGCTTTTCTGGGCTTACCTCTTTTCATTTCTTAAACCTTCAGTTATGATACCAATTATAGGATCATAGCAACTCTAATATCACTTAGTAGGATCATAACAATTCTGATATCATTTGTTAAGTAAAAAAAGCTTAATTTAATTAAATAATCAAGCTAGTGGAAGTGAAAGCAAACGATTAATTAATTACACAAGAGATAATAATTTAACGTAGTTGGACTCAACTGACTTACATCCACTGATGAGATAAAAGATTCATTAGTTGTAAATAATTACAAACAAATAATCTCAATCAATCATTTAACAATTTACTCATAGAATATTTCAATCTTCTCTAGTTTTATGGAGTATTCTGATTCCAAACAAATATATACCAATGTGTACCATGCACCATACCTATGTGGACCATGTCATTCTCCTCTAGTTCACCTAAACATACATACCTATAAAGACGATAATATCTTGTATTCATATGAGGTATTTATCTAATAAAATCCTATTTTACATCTTTTTTTAATATCTAATCTATAAAAACTCTACTTATTTATAAGTATACAAACTTATCTATTAAAAATTTCTTTCTCTTAGAATTCTTTTTATGTAAGTCTTTTTATTCATCAAGTAATAACTAATTAATTTTGAATAAATCTCTTATAAGATTTGAGTGACTATTCTTAATAAAAAGTTGCTTGTTTAAAGCCTACTGGAGTCGATGGAAACAACAAAATATTAATTTGTTTTAATAAAAGGATATGTGCTACAATTACTTAATTCCAACCAAATTCATTTTGATCACAAAAGAATTTGCCCCAAATCATCACCTATCTAATTTCCTTAGAGAGCTACAATGTTTTTATTTAGAAGAGGTTGTAACTTGAAAATATAGCAGATAAGATTCACTAGAAGAAGATGCTGATGGATTGTAAAGAGGGAGAAGATGCTGACGGATTGAAGGTCAGAAGGAGGGTTTTATTAACAAAGGCTCAACCTGAGGTTCCTTTCTTTTGCATAGCCCGTGGCTTCAATGTCTGTTGACTTTTCCTTTTGGATGAAATTGTACAAAAAATATTGTTAATTATTTCGGTGCTTCATTTAGTCATATTTTTAGAAGAAACTGTTGCAAGGTGATAGAATCAATATTGAATAGTATCATTCTTACTCTCACTAGTCCATAAATATTGCAAAAGCAAGAAAAAAATTGCTGCTGTTGGCATATTGTTGACTGCCTTCGCTTAATCCGTGGGTGGTCGAGGCATTTGCCTGTTTATTGAAAGGCATCTTGTGGTTATGGTGAAAAAGAAAAGACAGCTAACAGATAGATCAAGAAAACCATAACCATAACCATTACATTTACATTCTTTTAATTGGTTTCATGAATTATTCTAAATAGATATGGCTTTAACTTTTTTTTGTTTGTCATGAATCTTCCAAAACAGTCGATTTTGTGCCTATCTGGAAAAAATATTTTTTTTCACATAGCTGAGATCTTTGACGTGTAATTTTGGCTTTAAAAAGAAAAAGAAAGAAGCTAAACTGTGGAATTGAAAGGAATTATCCCATGATTACCTATATCATACCATGGAGCATCCTCCTGCAAGAATATATTGCCAAAATCTCATATCTTGCGGATAAGAAAATTAAATATTGCAGTTACTTTTGTTTAAACTACTCTTAAAATGAGCCCTTTTTTGCAAGAATTTCTGTTTTCTAATTATGAAACTTAAGATCTTGCAGAAACGATGAACTAGTTTATATTGGAAACTTGATTTCTGAAATATCCTTCCTATGGAAATACTCTTTTTGACGAGGCACTCTTATCAGGTCTAAGAGTTGGTAATGTTTGGTCAAGTTTGTTGAAATTTAAAGCGATTGAAATAATGAATCCCCAACTAACCATTTAACAACCAAAACACCCAAAATGTACCATTAGAAATGCCAGTGTCATTAAACATTACACACCAGATATCCTGCAAATCCATGTCCACAAACATCATAGGAACATGAAAAGATGACCTAGTGTACTTACACAATTACATTTAAAAAGGTTAAATCCAAATTGAACTGATCATTAACTCCAAATCAACAACGAAATTGAAAATAAACAGTTACATCTTTATCTAGTAAAGACGATGCTCCTTCAAACCCTAGACCCCGTCACTGCAGAGCCAGCCTTGGACACCGGCTCGTCCCCTGGTGCACGAATGCCATAGTCAGCGTCTCGGTACCCTGGTCCATACCTGCTGCTGAACACACCGGCATGGAGCAACAAGACATACAAAAGTTGGGTGAATGTGAGGATTATTATGAATGCTTCAAGTATTCTCAGCCTCCATCCTCTCCACCCTCCTATGTTTATATGCTTGCAAGCAACCTGTGTAGGAAACAGTTGGTTAAAATCATCAATCCTTTGCAACATCAAAATGGAGTACTAATTGGTTAGTTTATAGATATGTAAATAAATGGTAATAAAGTTCACCCAAAGGCTAGTGCAGTCAAGGCCCAAGCTATATGTGCAGATGATCCTGCTTCAGCCAGACTATCAGCTCTCCATGACCTGATATGGAGCCCCCCTGATAACTTTGATACTATGCCTACTGCAGCAGCCAAGATTGAAAAGGTCAGGAAGAAACTGGTTCCTTCATTTCCACCCATACCTGAAACATTTCCCTTGTGTTAAAATCAACCAAGACAAACAGATATATGTATATAGTAGTAATTAAAGATTATGGTCCAATCATTAAAACATAAAGGGAAATAACTTACTGGGATGAGCAGTCTGGCCATTGATATGCCTATTAATACACCAGCTAGCAAATCCCAGCACAATAAAATACATGAACAAGTTCAGAAACAGCAATGGAGCTGCTATGTTTCTTCCTACAGCAGCCATCCTAAGCTAATTTTTTCTTTCCCGCTCAGACAGAACACTTGAAAACCAGACAATCTTAACAAATTTCCTGTCTTCAGCTTAAAGATTTTGTGTAATGCCGCAATGGAAGGGCCAATATAGAGAAAGTTAAGGGTGTAAAGGAAGTTGGAGTACGTGTAAAGCAGTGAGACTATGCATGGAAGAAATTGGAAACAGGTGGAAGTACACTGGTCAAAAATGGTGTTTGCGTTTCCAATGATTTCATCTCTCTTGGAATCTCGAAGATTTGGCTTACAGATGGCGTGCATATCCAGTTTTTCAGAGAATAATATCATCTACCGATACTTTTAATTTTATCAGCTTCAAAGTTATTCGTCTTTTATACCTTATTCAAGAAGGGTTAAAAACAATGAATACAATGATAATCATTGACTGTGTTTGTTTTTGTAGGAATATTTTGGAAAGAAAAGACCCACATTTAAGGTTTTTTTTTCTCTTTTGGATTTCATATTCAGTAAAAGAAGTTTTTTGGGTTTTTTTCTAGGAATATTTAGGAAAGAAAAGACCCACAATTAACATTCTTTTCTATTTTATTAGGGAGATTGTTTAACAAAGGATTTACTGGATTTTATGCTTTTTAAAGAAATATTTTGGGTTTTTTTATAGGAAAAAGAAGAAAAAAAAACAGATGTAAAAGTTCATCTATAGTGTAGAATGATTTACATGTTGTTTTGGATATTATTATTTATCAAACACGATGAAAATTTTAAACTATATAAATGAATTTGAATATTGTTAATTTATTATATTGATCAGATTAAATAATTATTTTAATACATTGTAATAAATATGTGATTTTTTTAATTTTGTTGGTGAAATTTAAAAATACTTACAATATGTATTGAAAAATCAATATATTTGGATGGAACTTGACACCTTTAATTCTAGATTTTTTTTTTTAAATTCAATGATATAGTGAATAAAAAATTGTGATTTATGAGAACAGTTAAATAAGTTATTGAAGAGTGACAATTCTGAAAGAAATTTTTGATATAATCTTATCCATTAAATCTCTTTAAATTAATTATTAAAAAAATATTAATAAATAACTAAAAGCATAAGAAAGAGGTCGATTAATTACAAAGGTTAAAATTTTTTTTAATATTTTTATTTCAATATTCAAATCAGTATTAGGTTAAAAATGTGAAAAAAAAAAGGTATCGAGTAAATAAAGAAGTTAGAGTTTCAATTAATTTAAAAATATCTCGAAAGAATATGTATTCCTCTGCTAGGGAAACCTTGGGCCTAAGTGGCCCGAGCTTGGTGTAGGGGCCTAAAATTGATGTCGTAGGTGCAAGCTGAGCTGATCGATAACAATCCAATCGGGAGGTGAGAAATCAATGTCCCCACGTGCTAATTGGTGGTCAATTGAGATAGCTAAGTTGACATAAAACTCGAAAATTTAAATCAATTTGAATCATCTCGATCAAATTGATCAAATTGATCCCACTGAAAAAAAATTTAGTTTACCTTTTGAATACTAAAATGCCTACAACAAAAAGGATGTAAAACTCTTTGATTTATGTTGATGCAAGTGGATTATATATATATATATATATAAACATAAAAATATTTGTCTAAATTCAAATTAAATTTGTATTTTAGTGGTAGTTTTTGCAAAATTTATTTTGGTTTTTAAGAGCAAATGGAAAATTCAGAATTACTTGCATCATGTAAAGTGTCTTATATAATCTTTTTAGCCCAAAATATTTTTCTATTTAATGTTTGTTTGAAGGTATATCTCATATTGTCTTCGAATCAAATATGAGAATTTTTGTTTATATTTTGTACATTGAGGGAATTAAAATTGATTTATTACAAATCAATTAAACATGTCTTTGCATTTCAATACTAGAAATTTGTTAAATTATTATATGATTTTCAGTACTATTTTCTATGTTCCAAATTTAGTTTTTAATATAAAACACCCTTCAATATTTGGAGTTGATACATTAGATACAGATAGATCATATCTTATAAATTTTTTTTACTTTCTTTCTGTCAATCAGCCTCTCCCCTTTTATCCTGTCTTTTGTGCATCTTAAGTACTAAATAAGTAGATTTCTTTTTTATAACATAATGATAAATGTAATGATAATTTTTTTGTCTTTTTTCTCACTCATTTTTTATCATCATAATATTTTTCATAATTTTTTTTCAATTATTCCTGAACTCTAGATTATATATAGTCTAGAAAACCCAATAAAATACATACATACATGTATATATATTTATATATATATATATATCGAATTATCAACTACAATTTAATTTCTTATTTATGAAGTATTGTTTACTTTGATCATTCTCTAAATAGGAGACTTTTTCATTTGTTATAAATTCTATAAATGTGAATAGTGATAAAAAATTGATAATTATTGGTTTGAAAGCAAATACACAACTCAAAAATATTTTTCTTATGGTCCCATCTTACCTCTACTTATTTAATGTATTTTATTAAAAAATAGGTAAAATTAAGTTATCAAGTTTGATAGCAATATAAATGTGATTTATCAACTATTATCGTTAAAGAATTGTGGTTTGAGATTAAGTCTCGGAGCATATCACCTATAATTTTTTTATTAAATTATTATAATTATCCAATTATAATAAAAAAATTATATAAAAGTCTATCACTTATAAGTATGGCTTCACATAAAATTTTAATAGGCTAATTTTGATTTGTAATTAATCAATTGTATGACAATGACTGAAATGCTCCTCTAAATCCCTTTTTCTTTAGATTATTTAAAGATTTCTCTACCAACTGAAAAGTAATTAAGTTGTCTATTCCCATCTGAAGGTTTAAAATGCACATTAGAATTAATTTATGGTTGAATTTAATAACCTAAAATTGCATGAAAAGATAATTCAATGAAAAATTAATTAAAAAAGAAAAAATAATTTGAATAAATATTGATCATAAATTTATTTAAATGTGAATTCTTTTTTAGAAAAAAAAAGTCTAACTTCATATAAAACTTCAAAACTACAATCAATTTTAATAACATTAATAATTGAATTGGAGCACTCGTTTACCCATACTTTATCCTCCTAATTAGTGGTTGCTAATAATTCTATAAAATAAAGTTATTTAAAATTGTTTTTAGTGTTTAAATGAGTTATTTTGCTTTGTTTTGGCAAAATAAGATGCATTTTACTCTTATTGTTCTTAATTTGATGATGTATAAGTAGTCTTGAAGATAAGATTGAATTTTGAATTTTTTTTTTTTGCAATCTTAATAGGTTTTTGATACATTTGGAGTAATCTTGATAGTTCTTCGTATGTTCTTAATGATTCTTAAAGTTCTTAAAAAATCTTAGAAAAAAAGTGCTAAATTTTTTCAAGATTTGCTTAGTTGTACCTATCATAATATATAAATCTGTAAATCTATAGCTAGACTTAACAAATGAATAGAGTCACTATCAATCTTTTTTAAGTAGGTGTGATTGGTCACCTAAGGAATCTATCTTTAAGAAGCTCTTAAGCTTGACTAAAGGTTCATAAAAGAATAGGTTTGGATCTATAAACCAGAATAAGGTTCGAGAGTTTGGTTACATATGAAAAAGGTTATAACACTCCCACATGCCCATCCAAAGGATGGTACATTTTATTTTAAATTTATCTTAGGGTTTCGATTCTAATGGTTTTAATTTTTTTATGTTGAAATATTAAAAATAATTCTTAAGACTCTTCATCAATTTTGTAGAATTCTTAAAAATATTTTCTCACTTCAAGAGTATTCAAGAATCCCATTTGTTTTCTTGAAGATGCTCTATCGTCGAAAAAATATTTTTTTTCGAAAATATATCTAATTATTCCACCATTTGGACAAATTAAAAATATTTTCTCTTTTTGAATTTTTAAAATTTCCACCATTTAGGCCTATTTAGAAATTCTTTTTATTATTTCTAAATTTTCCACTATTTTGGTCAATTTAGAAATTTTTTTTTTGAAAATTTTAAATTTTTCACCATTTGAGCCTATTTAGAAATTCTTTGTTCTTCTTTTGTTTTGTTGGATTTCTAAATGTTTCACCATTTTGGTCAATTTAGAAATATTTTCTCTTTATTTATTTTTTTATCTTCGAAAGGAAAATAATATAACAATTATTTTTTATTAAAATTTTATTTAAATTCTTATAGTATTTGGGATAAATTTTAAAAATTTCTCACTAGAGATTTATTAAAAATTTACCATTTGAAATTTTTAAGAATCTCATCTTTGGATAATTATCAAATATTTTCAACTTAAACTTTTATTTTTTATTTTTTATTTTTTTGGATTAAAAATAAATATTAATTATTGTTATTGAAATTATATCTAAATTATTCTATCATTTGAAACAAATTTAGACAAAATTTCTCACATGAGAATTTTATAGAAATTTAACATTTGAAATTTCTATAAATTCCATCATTGGATAATTAATATTTATTCCTAAATTTTATTTTTTAAAATTTTTATTTATTTTTTTAAAATTTAATTACACAAAAATACTAAAACAAAAACACATAAACAAAATAAAAAAATACCAACAAATACAAAAAAAAAACCAAACAAAATCGAAACGGCTCAGCTTAACGGCTCGACGTGGCTTGGCTTCAGGCACAGAAAATGACTCAACGACTCGGTTCAGCTAGATTGGGACGCGGGTTGGCGCAGCGGGTTGCGCTCAGGTCGGATTACCCGAATAAAAACATGTGGATCCTAAGGTCTCCTTAAGCAAAAATGGCATCGTTTTGGGCCTTGTAAAAAAGACAGCTCCTAACCTTTTTCCTCAGATTTCACCTTTCCCCTCTCTCTTCCCGTTTTTTTCCTCTCACTTTTCTCTAACCCGATTGAATCTCCAATTGAATATCAATCGGATTCTAAAAAATACTATCGAAATCTGGGTTGATTCATCGGATAATCACCGAAAAATTCAATCTACGTTAGAAAAGTTACTGAAAACTGAAAAATTATGCCGAAATCTGGGAATTTTTTAAATTTTTCCAAAAAAATTTCTTTTTCCCCTAAACCCAAAAATCTTTGAAAAACTTTCTGATTGCTTTTTGCTTGTGATTTTTTTTATTTCTGTTTCTGTGTGTTTTTTTTTTG